GTTAGGTCCTCATTTTTCCCCTCCCTCCCCTGGACTGGCAAATATTTTGTTGTGTACATTTTTACCCCTATTAGGAAAAAGACAAACCACTGACTGATGATTGGTGAGAGACCAGCTGTCATCCTGTGTTCTACGAGGTGGTTTACAGGTCGTTGGTTTCAGAAAGTTCTTTCATTGCTGATTAGTTCCTGGTCAGACTTAAATTTTCCAGGAAAGGAAGATGATTTTTCCGTCTCTTAATCAGAAAGGCAATTTCAGAAGCATTTTCTCTGGATGAGGAAAGTGAAATGCAGAGCCCCACTTGTGACTGCAAGGGAGTCACTCCACCTGCCTTTGGTCATGTCCCAGTCCGTGTGACAGGAAGGACGGCTTCCCATCAGATTTTTACCCAGTCATTTTCAGAACCCTGAGTGAAAAATACTAAAAAATATTGGCTGTATTTTTCCCAGCTCTCCACGAGCCATTCTGTTCCCATCAGCAGCCACTTAGAAGCATTTGTGTCATAATCACAGCCGTCGCCAGTTATGCCATTTCATTTCAAAAGCTAACGTTTGGGTAGGGTCTTTCTCTGAGGGTTAGAAAACATGGCTACATTTCTAAACCAATGTCACATTCTCATTAGCACGTCACCCATCCATCCTCTATGGGATTATGCAACTGTGTTCATAGATATAATCAGCATTGTATTTTCATTCAAGGATAACAAACACACACACCCTAGCAAGGTGGAAATCTTGACTTGCCATCAGAATTGAATTGCTCCCCAGAGCTGGGAGGCACTGAGGAATCGAGTCGAGCCTTGGTCAGAAAAGGCAGGTAGAGAATCTCAATTGCCTGCTCTCCCTTTGTTCTCCCTCCAGTACGGTGACTATGACCCCTCTGTTCACAAGCGGGGATTTTTGGCCCAGGAGGAGTTGCTTCCAAAAAGGGTAAGCATCAAATTGGGGTGTACGCTAGCCTATTGGGGAAGGCATAGTAGATAGGTGGTGTCAAAGAAAGCTGACAGGATCTGAAGGAATGGTGGAAGGACATGGCCTTAAAAATATATTATAATCAAACTTGAATCAAGAGTGTGCAATCTCTGTTAAGAATACTAAAAAGCCAAGGTTCGTGGAATGGGTTTGGGGTTGCCAGGACTAGCTTGGCCTGCCAATGTTCCCCTGAAAGGCCCCTTTCTGAGAGGTGGCCGCCCATCACGGATTTCCACGGGAGGAGCTTGGGAATTGAGCTGTTTGCAGCTGCACTGGGGTGGAGAGACACAATGAGTTAGGGCTGGGCACTGTGATTTTTAATCCTCAGCGTTATTCATCTTGTCCACTAGCCCTCCCTCCCTCTTGCTGCTTCCAATTGTAGAGCCCCACTCATCTGTCACTGGGTAATAAAGTCTGCTCCTCACCTTTCTCTGACTCTCCTGGTTCTTTCTATGGCTTCTCTGCAGGCCAGGGCCAGCAGCACAAAGCCTGTCCCTGGTGGCCCAGGGACAGTTAGCCTTGCTCCTGACTAAGCATCTGCAGACACTCTCTCAGGTGCACAGCGCGGGAAAGGGCCAGGCCAGATGGAGGCAACGCCTAGGCTGAGTGGGAGGGAGCACAGCTCTACCAGTTCTTCCCCCGACAATGGGTGCTTGTGTGCATGGCCACCTCTACCAGCGACCGTCTCCTTGTGTGTGGCTTTTTAGAAATAGCTGTGCTGTTTTGTTAAAAAAAGTATACATAATCACAAAGATGTCAAACAATACCAAAACTTTCTTTGTGCGTGGGGTTTTTATTTTGCTCTCTTTTTCGGTAGGTAATAAATCTGTATCAAATGACTCCAGAAATGTGGGAGGAGAGAATTACTGCGTGGTATGCAGAGCACCGAGGCCGGGCCAGGTAAGCCAAGCCACTGTGGTGTGCTTTATATCACTTAATGGGGTTTTTGGTTTTGTTTTTTAAAGAACTTAAAAGTAGGGCATGCTTTGAGCAAAAGTCGGAAGGAAAGGGAGAGTGGGAGGGACACGGGCGTTCTGTTTCTCCAGAATAGCCTGTAGTACAGGGGTACGCTGGCCCGGCACAGGCACACCCCTCTGTTCTCTCGAGATGTCTACACCTAGGGCTTCCTGGGTACTTTAGTTTTGCTTTCAGAATTCTACTGTACGGAGGAGCAGTGCTTTGCTCGTGTCCGAAGCTCCCCAGGGGACCCTGTGCTGTGGGCACTGACACTACCGCCTGGCTTCAAGCTTGGTCTCTGGCTGCTGCCTCCTTGCTTTAGCGCCACAGAATGTCTTAGGACCCTGATCCCTGTGACTCACCCTGTCATCATCTGTGCCCAGCAGCGCATGCACTCAGCATCCAGGCAGTGCCACCACGTGGGCCCCATTGGCTCCGCTGGGTAGGTGAAGTGCCCCGGTTTAGAAAGTCTGATGTCTCTTCAAGCCACTTGAGCCAGAGTAGCCCCAGTGTCTACGGTCACAAAACTTGACAAAGAAGGAAATAATGTCTTTTGAAAGGAGGGGGGGTCGGGGATCATTATACCAAGAATTAAGTCTTCAAACCAGAGATTTATGATTTCTACCTGTTGTGAGCATCAGCACGGCTGTTTCAGGGGCTTCCTTCACAGTTGGCTGAAAAGGGCCAGCTTGTCCCATCCCTTCCCTTTTGAGTTGAGAGCCATGGAAGCACTCCTACAATTTTGAATGAACACCCTTCAGGGGAAATGGAGCACTTTTCTCCCAGTGACCCATGAGAAATTGGAAGCTTTTGTTGGCCCCAAACATTCTTCTGTAGACAGAAGCAACTTGTATGTCTTCCTACAAAATGACAACAGCTTGTGTGAGTTAGGAACATGGTTAACTTTTCAAAGAGTCCCGTGTGGAGATCGTGGATGAGGAAGAGCTGTGTCTGACAAGGGAAGTGACCCGCCAGACTTTGAAAAGAGCAGTACTGGAATTGCAGACGAGGGGAAGGTCTGTCCAGGGCAGCTCGGACACTGAGGGGTCTGATTGTTGATTCACAAGCTGTTATGTTCGTCAATCTGGGCAGCCACCATAAATGCGACGGTGAGGGTGAGCCTTCAGTCAGCCGTTGGGACCTTCCTCTTTCACTCTTGGGGAGTTGTTTCGGGAATCAATTTGGAATCATCTCTTGAAGAAGACCATAGAGTGTTCTGGATGATTACAGGACGCACGTTTATGGAAAATGACCTAATCTGTAGGCATCCTCTTTCAGTCCTCGGACGAAAACGTGATGTTGCTCTGCTTTCTGTAATAGCCTCTTTACCTAAACATGCTGCAGGTAGATAGAAGGACGGCAGGCAGCCAGGTGGACTTGGATCAAATGGGAACAAACCATTAGGAGCACACAGGCAAGGATGAAGATTTTCTTTCTTTTTTCCTTTTTTATGGGAACCGCAAGAAACTTCTGGCACTTTAAAAATTTTATTTTATAGAGTCAGACTTGAAAAAAAATACCACTGATGCTGACAACAACAACAACAAAAGCTATTTAGTATCAGCCACTCACAATACTAAAACTTAATGGCATTTTCAGAAATGTAAGAAACAAGCTGGCTTGCTTTTAAAAGGCCAAGACTCGATATCCTTCAAACATAAGCCATTTTTACAGACATGCTGGGCAGCATGGAGAGACTTTATTCCATTTACCCTAACCAAACTCCCGGCCATCGAGCTGATTCCTACTCGTAGCCGCGTAGGACAGAGGAGTAGACCGGCCCCCGTGGCTTTCTGAGACCGGACCTCTCCACAGCAGAGAAAACCTCGCCTTTCTTCTGCGGAGAGGCTAGTGGTTTCGAGCTGCTGATCTTGTGGTTAGCAGCCCAATGCATAACCCAGAGCTCCTAAGAATTTCATTTATACATATTTTTTTTCTTTTATTTATTTATTTGTTTGTTTGTTTTGTTTGTGCATATTTTTTAAATGTAATCTCATGCCACACGAAGCCTACAAACACGACAAACCACAAATCTAAGAGCTGATAGATGGAGTTCTGAGTGTAGGATTTGTGAATTTCTTTACTCTCAGATGGCTGAAAGCTAACAAAATATGTATTAACCTTAAATGCTGGTATGTTGAGCTTTCAATTAATCCTTCACATAACCACATTTTCTTGTATATGTCCCTTTTCTATCTAAGGTGACTTAAAAGAAAGAATTAAAGAAAAGAAAGCTATTCGTGGGCAGTTTGGTATCTGTTCTTCTGTTGTTGGCGTTGTTGGGCACAGTCTTGTATACCCTTATCCATTTGTGTGAGTAGTCCCAAGAGCGGGTTCTTTAGAAGAAGGCCAAAGGTTTTGAACAGTTTGCATTTTGATGGCGGCCACCAAATTGCCCTCCCAAGGTGGTGCCCATGCGCATCCTCAGTGTGCTTGCATGTGCCCGCCCCGTTCTCACTCTGGCACTTCTTTTGATTTTTCGAATATCTGTAATATCAAAGGTAGAAATTCTTTTTTTTTTCAAATCATTTTATTGGGGGCTTGTACAATTCTTTTTTTAATCATTTTATTAGGTGCTTATACAACTCTTATCACAATCCATGCATACATCCATTGTGTCAAGCACATTTGTACATTTGTTGCCATCATCATTCTCAAAACATTTGCTTTCTACTTGAGCCCTTAATATCAGCTCCTCATTTTCCCCCTCCCTCCCACTCTCCCCTCCCTCATGAACACTTCATATTTCATAAATTATTATTATTTTGTCATATATTACACTGTCCGATGTCTCCCTTCACCCACTTTTCTGTTGTCCACCCCCCAGGGAGGAGGGTATATGTAGATCCTTGTAATCGGTTCCCTCTTTCTACCCCACCTTCCCTCCACCCTCCAGGTGTCTCTTACCACTGGTCCTGGATTCCCTGTGTTTCCAGTTCTTATTTATACCAATGTACATCCTCTGGTCTAGCCAGATTTGTAAGGTAGAATTGGGATCATGATAGTGCGGGGAGGAAGCATTTAAGAACTAGAGGAAAGTTATATGTTTCATCGTTAGTATCCTGCACCCTTACCGGCTCGTCTCCTCCCTGCAGCCTTTCAGTATAGGGGTGTCCAGTTGCCTACAGATGGGCTTTGAGTCTCCACTCTGCACTAACCACCTTTATAATGTTATGATTTTTTTTTTGGACTTTGATACCTGATCCCTTCGACACCTCATGGTCACATAGGCTGGTGTGCTTCTTCCATGTGGGCTTTTGCTTCTGAGCTAGATGACTGCTTGTTTACCTGCAAGCCTTAAGACCCCAGATGCTATATATTTTGATAGCTGGGCACCATCAGCTTTTTTCACCACATTTGCTTATGCACCCGCTTTGCCTTCAGTGATCATATCAGGAAG